GATTATGAAAAAGAATAGAACCTAAAATGTACTAGATTCATCTTGATCTTTCTCATTTTAGTGATAAAAATAGACATCTTGGCAAATATAATAGCTATTAAAAAAATGTCTTTATGGTCTTGACACAGGACGGAAGCTCTTGGAGTTCAGCCACCACCTCCCAGTATCTGCTTCCCCATTTCTATCACATGCAGTGGTTTTAGAATGTTGAGAAAATAAAAATCTTGAAGAAAAGTATTCCAGCTAGCCCAGGAATCCATGGAAAATAATTAGACACATACAGCATGCTGCCCCTGCCCCATCACACTGCAGTTACTATTAAAACAAGGAAGAACCAACAGAAAAGTAAAGAACTATTTTCTTAGGAACCTCCTCTGCATAGTCTTCACATAGCAACAGAGTTTGATTTTCTCCTTATATTCAGGTATGTTTTTGCTACAAGTATCCTGCCATATGACACTCATGCAAGTGATGTGTACTAAAGGTCCCCAGTGTACCCAAGAGCTAGAGCTACATCATAGATGGTTTGTTCTCATGAGAATAGTACAAGAAACCACTACAGACATCTTTCAAGCCACGCTGTTGGCGACTACCAAAACTTATGCTGTATTATTTCCCGTAGTACTTAAAGAAGAGGAAAGCGTGTTGGCTCTCAGCAGTAATCTCCCCTGGGGAAGAATAGATTAGCAGAAATGTGACTGCTATGAAGACATGTGCCTCTGTGGTAGATACAAAGTGTCACAATAGGTTGTTGGCAAGATTCCTTATCTTCAAGTTCTGTAGCAAATTCATATCAAGATCTAATATATGGAATATATTCTCAAGCATGAAGTTAGAAGAGGCAGAAGGGCATGCAGATCCTCAGGAGGCAATATTTCTTTCAGTCTGATTAGCATAAAGGACTTAAGATTCAAAATGTAGTCAGAGAACTAACAAAAACAGTAATAGTTTATGAACCTGTCGATGAATATTCATTGTAATCACTTTACAGTAATCAATTAGTAGTACACACAGCAAGAACAGTATTAGCTCTGAGGCTACAGATTGCAGAACTGAATAAATCATCATTTTTAAATCTTATAACTAAAGGCAATGCATAGTCCTTTGTGGACAAAAAAATCCATTTTATGTTCTGCAGTAAAATAAATATAGAAAATAATACAGAAAGGGAAAACTTGCACCTAGTGTCTATTCCTACAAATATAGGTCAAGAAATTTGTTAGGTTACTTGGCTATGCAGTTCTGATATTCATTATTTTGCTTAGAGCTAAAAGACAGATTCAAAACATGAGCTAAACAAATTTCTTCTTAATGTTTTATGCACTGCAATACACTTTTAAAATGTAATTCAATGCATTAGTCATATTGCTGATAGATCGCTTACATTTCTTCTTTATTTTTAATTTCTCATTCATACTTTCAAGTGTTAGAATGTGTTGTGGTAGTTTAGACTAACTATATTTCAACTAATTGTTGTTAGAAAACAAAATGTCAATCAGAATCCAAAGCTCTTATAAACACACTTAGCCAGGCCTGTCAAAGGAATAAACACTACAGTCATTTTCATTAAAAACTGTTTCTGAGTGAGTTTGTTACAATCAGTGTCAGATATTTTCTGTGTCTTCCTCGTGGCTGCTCAAATGTATTCAACATTTTATTCTTCAAAAATGTTGAGACCTTTAATAAAAAATGCATTAAGAGTTACCAATAGCATAGATTTAAAAAATAAAGCAGATGGGATGGTAAGCCAACTGTGCAAGTACAAGGGTGCAGGTCCCAAGCCTGACCTAAAATGGCTGAGTTGCAGGATGGTGTTGCTTAGTGACCAAACAGTGTCTTCTCCGCACTGAGTAATCTAAACAGCAGTGACAGAAAGGTCCCCTCAGCCTCAGACTTGGCCAGAACAAATATCAAGGGGGACATTTAACCTTTCCAGCAGTTGACAACTTTTATTTTAAATCAGTTTCTGTATCCTCAGTTTTATCATGTTAATTTTGAGGATCAGGAGCAATATA